GTACCTTTTGCCTCTTTTTATTCAAATAAAGGTGGCACAATGAGGATCTATTATTTGCCGGTGCTCTTCAGCTTTGTACTTGTTTTGGCTTTCAAACTTTTTTTATCTGAGCGTCACTGGTTAGTCTTGTGTGGACGAGACGCACGTCTGGTGTATTAAATTCTAAACCTAGTACCTTTTGTTAGCTATTATTCGTGTGTTTCTTTGTCCTATATGTTCTCCCATTTATTTGTATCGTAGTCATGTCATGTAATGTTGTCATTTTAATGTTATATCTAACATTGCCATAAAAGCGGGAGGTTTGGCATGCCACAAAACCAGGTTCAACCCACCATTTTTTTCTTAAAATGTCCTGTACCAAGTCAGGAAAATGGCCATTGTTATATTATAGTTCGTTTCTGTGTGTGTTACATTTTAATGTTGTGTTTTTGTTGTGTCGTTTTTGTCCTCTTATATTTGATGCGTTTCCCTCAGTTTTAGTTTGTAACCCGGATTTGTTTTTATCTCTATCGATTTATGAGTTTCGAACAGCGGTATACTACTGTTGCCTTTATTTACGGTTTATGAGGGTGTCGTAAATGGTGTTTCCACAAAGTGGTGATTTGAGTATGTTATTTCCCCCGAGAACATAGTCTTCTTTGAAATGTAGTTGACAATCACTACCAGTTTGCTGCAACAATATTTATTGTTGGGTATGGTTCTGAATACACAATAGCCAAAACTGTATTTAGAAAATACAATTAAAAACAGCAAGATGACTTTGACTTTAAACTCTTAAATTCTATGTGTATACTGAATATGTTTACCAAGTCTTGTGAAGATCGGATAAGAAACATAAACTCCATAGTGTCCATGAGTGTGTTGCAATATTTCCAACGAAACTTTTTAAGAAAGGAATAATTATATGGAAAAACATAAAGATGCTTCCACAAATGAGTTAACTATATAGTTAACTCATTTTTGGAATGTATCTTTCACTATTATTGGCGGGAGGTGCAGTGTTACATGGAAGACTTTTACATGTATATTTTAGCTATATGACTAAAGAAGAAATTAAAATAATGTTTTAGGATACCATGCCTTGTTTGCACTATAATTGTTCTTCTTCAGTGAACGTAATCGGGTCACAATCATAATGTGCCATAAAGTAAAAAAAGATAAACATAATTATGAATATACGTTCTAAGTTTCAAGTTAATGTGACCACTACTTTATGTTAAACTGCCTTAACCCAAAACTTTAACCTGAATATGAATTCGTCACTCTATCTCGTCTCCATTGTTCCGTGAACCATGGAGTGAGGGGTCAAAACCATAATTTGGCAGATAATTGTTTAAGTTCTTATTAAAATGAACAAGTGTATTAAGTTTCAGGTTGATGCTACTACAACGTCATTGTAAACTACTTTTAAATTAATGAAACAAATTACGGGACGGACGAACAGACAAAATTTCGGACGGGCCAGTTTCCCCATAGACCAGAAAACACAATGGCCACTACTATCGTAGGCGGGGCATAAGTAAATTTATGAATCTAATTTTTGTTCTATCAATACATTTAAATTTACAGAATGTCAATTTGTATTTCACAGAGACAGTTAGATAATGAAACATTATTTCAAGCATCGCAACGTCTTCAAAATAATAGGTAAGTAGTTCTTATGTCATCCTGTTCAAAATAGCAATCTTAATAAATTCAAACAATCTGTAAACAATTATATACATATATGTGTTCCTCGAAATTTACAAATAGAGGAAACATAATTGGGAGATGACTTATCAAACTTGTAAATAATAACATTTTATCAACATGATCAATGTCCGTTCTGATACTGAAGATATAATATCTCCTTTTTGTAATTTCATTTAGTGTACAACAATATTTTTTGATATTTCATTGAAGGTTAAAAAGATGGGGGAGTGGCTTATTCTCTGCATTGAGCAAAAGTAATCCTGACTGGATCTCAAAGCTACCACTCAGAGATATAAACCTGGCTATTCAAGATAGAATTAATTATATGGCTTCGATGTTTAATGAGAGGTACGTTTATAATATCTTAATTAAAGACTTAGTTAATAATGACTAATATTGTCAATAAATGTTCCCACTGTACTGGTTATGCCTGCATCCGTAATTGTATCGTTACCACATCTTTTGAATCATTTTCGGTTTGAATTATTATGGTTAATAAGATTATATTACTTGACGGTAGTCTGTACTTTCGCAAGAAAATATTTGAGTACTATCTACCCATGGGCAGCTAACATTTTTTGTTGTTTACTCACAACATATATTTCTGTGACAGTGTAAACTTGAAATAATGTGTAATAATCCATAACCTTGAGAGCTAGAATGAGCGAAACTACAAATACATTCATTACAGATACATGGATTAAAACTGTGTACGCCAGACGCGCGTTTCGTCTACCAAAGACTTATCAGTGACACTCGAATGAAAAAAGATATAAAAAAGCCAAATTAAGTACAAAGTTATACTCCGTCTTTACCTGGTGTATAGTGTAGATTCATTTGCTAGTTGCTTGTTGCTAGATATTACGTTTTCTGTGTAGTGTTATGTGGATTGTATAAGTTATGTCTATAAGTCTTTTCATTCAGCCATGACATTTTCTGTATTTCTTTGGCTAATGTTGTATGCCCCTTACTTTATATCAACATTCTTTTTAAGAATATCGTTAAACTGTTGCACCTTAATATTGGTCAACCATCTACTTTGACTAATGGTTTATGCCCCCCTTTTTTTATTAATTTGTACCAACATTCCTTTTAAGAATATTGGCATACAATTGTGGCATATTATTGTTCAATCATCGACAATATATTGGTTTTTTTTTAGTTTTGAAAATTTAGATGTGTACAGTGATGTATTACAAGATGAATTCCTGGAGATCTACACACAATCACCAAATATTACACAAGAGTTATTCTTTCAAGCTAAACAAGGATTTCCACATGCGAGATTGTTTTTAAATGAAAGGAATGTTCTTAATAGTAGTTTACACACAACTGTAAGTGTTTAATATGTTATTTGAAATAAGATAACATGGAGAGCAAGAGAATCTTAAATATTAAAAAGGGATCAGTTAGAAACTTAACATTTGCAGAAGTTGGCCAAGATCATTTGTAAAAGTAATAAAATACGATAATATCTAAAAACAAAACACGAAAAATCATTGGGAATGATGCCCCCATTGTTAAAGATTTTCATCAACAGCCAAGATAAAGAACTGCAATAAATGCGCTGTTATTGAAATGGTTCTCTAATGCATTTAGTGCTAAATGTAATCACCTGATGATGTTCCCTTTTAAACACGAAAATGTGAAGACTATTTTTTAGACTTTTTTCATTTAAATATTCAATTATTTATACTTTCCAAGCTTTTATTTTTGTTGTTTTGGAGGTCAATTAAGAAAAAAACATTCGGACGCATGAATGTAAAAAGTGTTATATTTACTGATTATAACATAGAACAAGGCTAGCATATTTGAATATAAGGTTGCACTAGAAAATCAGCTGAAGTAACGAAATTTAAAATACTGCAAATTAGTTGTGTCTAATAATAATTCGATTATGAGAGATCATTGTTCGCTTTGTTTATTTGTTTGTTTGTTCTTAATTTCCCTGGTCTTACTCAGGTGTTTGTAGCTGACGAATCTGCTTCAAATTAAGATTCAATTGGATTTTCTTGCCAGCAGTGTTTTATATAAAATGAACACGTTTACGTAACATATGAACTTATTCTTTGTCTTTAAGATTCAATATTATTTTGTTACTTTTGTAACGAGCTCTGCATTGAAACGTTTATATATCTAGGCATATGCTGATATGGCTAAGCGATTAAAGAGCATACATACTCCATACTATGGGCTTGGTATAAAAGCACATTTCAACTCCAGTCAAATAGACATGGATGCTTTAAAGGTAAGTCTTTATTACCTAGCAGCGTAACTCATAGTTTAATATAGCGAAAACAAAAATAGTCTGAGGTAACATGAATGTTGCAGTCGGCCGATGATTTAGGGAAATATCTATCCAGTTTATTTTTGTTTTCTTTGTAGCGTAATATGGATGAAAAGAAGGGAAATGTAGAATGAAAACATTTTTACATATTATCTAATTATTTGAACGGTTTTCAGACAGATACGACTGAACTAAAATTTGTGTTGATGCGGTACACACTCGGTTTAATTGACAGTCAAACGGACATTGCGCTCAAACCGGTGCTAGGGGCAATCTTGTATATCGTCGCGTACGTAATGTGTTTTTAACAAAACAATAGCACTAACGTCTGTTGAAAATTAAACGTTACTGATGAAAGTCAATCAAGAAAAGCCTTTCGGACGCTTGTAATTTATGACGTGTTAATTTGGAAGCGGTATTATTATTCTTATGTTCGAAGAAAAAATCCACGTTCTGATTATCCGACAGATTGAATACTACAATTGTCTAAGGGTTTCTTCATGATATCAAGTATTCAAGTTTTTCTGTTTTCAAACATAACTATACTATTTAAAGATAATCCGGAGCTGTGTTATTTTCCGGCATTCAACGGGAAAATATTTGGATATCGATGTCCATTTCGGTTCAAATATCTGAAAGAAGAGCCGTTATCTCCTTTCTTATATTGTGGTAAAATTTTGGATGATGAATTTTTTTTTCCCAGTTGAGTTTATGTTTGAAATGATAAGAATTAGGAGTTTAATTCCTTTAAAAACATAATCAACTTATAATTCAAAAATTGAAAATCAATTACGACATATGACCTAATTTTACATGCACAGTATCATTAGAAATAGAGGACGGAAAAAAAATGTTGCACTGGTCATCCGTCAACAAACATACCTACCCTCGTAGCATTGGTAACGCTGTGTAACGATGAATATATGTACGCGTCAATCATGTTTAAGAGTAACATATCTATAAATTAGTACATACATTTACATTATTACTATTTAGTACAGACTTGATAAATTGGCTGAAGCAAATTCACCATTGTGGATATCAAGTCTTGCTTTTCATGAAGACAGTGTTACCTTACGAGCCCAGATGTTAGATAATGTAATGACCCTTTTATACTCACGACCGGATGTAGAAGGTATTATTCTAGACGATGTTTGGGATAAGGAACTGAACAGTCAGGATGCAGCATTGGCAAATGGACAAAATTTCCAGGTTTACCTTTAATTTGGTTAATTAGTTAAATGGAATGAAAATAGTAACCTGAAAACAAATGTTTATTATATTTATTGTTTGTGCATTTATTATTATCTAGAAATTGATTAGTTTACTTTTTATGTACTATATTTTAGTTTGTCTTTTTGTATATTTTTTACAAAAGGACCCTGCCGTTCATCTCTGCTTTTGATTTCAACCGATGGTTAACTATCGTATCCCTTGGATGAAGTTTAACCCTGGGTAACGTTGTTCATCCTGAGGTTGAATTTAACCCTTTGTTAATCGTTGGTTTTAAATGATTTAGATTTAACTCGCTTCTCACCTCGGTTAAAAGTTTTACAAAGGAAAACTGTAGCTTTAAAGTACGGTTTCCTGTTGATTAGTAGTCCAATCAAGATTGAAAATTGCATTACAAGTTGGACACAAGAAATTCTGATATTTCTGCAACTTGCAGCAATAAAATAACTGAGTATTGAACAGATATATCATGTTTAGGAGGGGTTTTTGCAAAAATATATCCATCTAGAGAAGGTAGAATTTACCTTGCTGCCAGGTGCTTCTTTCCAAAACAAAAGTGAAACTAGTATCTGTCACGTCCCGTTGTATTTGTACTAAATAATGAAATAAAACAGTAGTGTTTATACAAGTAATCATATGTATCAACTTAAACAGTTTCGTCGGATCAATAGAAATGAATATTCAATGTAAACCAAACTAAGTTGCGCAACCGAATGTTAACCCTTGGTAACCTAACCCTGCGTTATATTAAACCAAAAGATGAACAATCGGGTACCAGATATCACTTATCTGAGACATTATAGTCTAATAGATACTTAATGTATTTTGTATTTTTGCTTCGAGTTGAATTAGTAACGGTATAAAATGCGTTTTTTTTATTATTATTATTTATGAGAATAGCACATCATTGAAATAGTATTACATTTTAGTAAATCTTATTTCATTTCAAAATATTTTATTAATTTTCAGATATATATTTTTATTTACTTACATTTTCGGACTAAATGCCACTTTCTTAATATTTGACCAGTTTCATGATTGCAATGTGTCACTCATTTTAAAATAAAAATAAAAAGATTTATTTATTTGAAATGTTAAACTTGATTTTCAATAATACAAGTCCTTGGTTATTGTAAGAAAAAGGGTTTATCATACTAGAAGGAACACCTCGGAACTATAACAGTTTGCATTAGATGCATTATAATTTTATCTGTTAATGTTAAATATTATTTCATGTCATACGGGAGTAACATCAATTGCCTGCATCGGAGAGTTCATAAACATACCAACATCTTATTTCGTCTTTTTTCTGTTAATTATATCCATTGACAAAGGAAGGCGAAAGATAGCAAAGGAATATTCAAGCTCATAAATCGAAAACAAACTGACAGTGCCGTGGCTAAAAACGAAAAGATAAACAACAGTACACAAAACACAATATAGAAAACTAAAGACTGATCAACACGAACCCATCGAAAAAGTACAAATGAACCCATCGAAAAAGTACAAATGAACCCATCGAAAAAGTACAAATACAGGAATTAGACTCTTATACAGAATCAACACGAAATGATATATCTTGTTACAAGCTCAATTAAGGCTCTTCACCAATGACGTGTTCTCAAATGCAATGAACAGATTTTCCCGTAAATAAAAAAGTAGTCTAACATATTCCTGTTGTAAATGTTCGCTACCGGTATGATTAATTTCAAGTGAATTTCTCAAATAATTCCATAATGCCTGTTATATTTTGTATTATGACAAAAGTTTAACCAAGCTGGGCACGTCTATCAAAACCGCTGGCATACACATGAAACTCACCGTTTCACCAGTAGAGTGAGGGTACGTGCATACAAGGGGGAATATGATATAATTGTACGACGAGGAGCAAATGGTCCAATTGTGGGTACGAAGCATGTGACACTTGGAAATGGTGGACTTTCTCTGACAATCCATGTCACAGGACAAGGTATATAAACTAATCATAGATCTATACCAGGATTGATATTGTGTATGCTAGACGCACTTTTCGTCTACAAAAGACTCACCAGTGTCGCTCGAATCACAAAAGTTAAAAAGGCCAAATAAAGTACGAAGTTGAAAAGCATTGAGAACCTTAAATTCCGAAAGGTTAAAGCTTATAAGTGTTTCCTATTTCATCGTGTGCAACTTTAAACTAATATGTTTAACTCACTGCGTGAACAATTATGTTAGACTTTAAGTAGCTTGCACATATAGGTTGATTGGAGGTCCATAAATTGAGATGAAAAAGAGACGTGTTTGCATCTAGTACACGAAATGGAAAGAGATCAATCAGGGAAAAGTTCGCTATGGAAAGTATCTCCAGTGACCGAATTTTCTGTTAGAATATATTTCAAAGTCATTAATTAAATTTTACAATACAAAAATTCAGAAGCAAAAATGAACAATGCTAAATTATCTTCCTTCGGCGGTACTCGATCGTTAACGCCGGGATTCTCACAAAATGATCAGGGTCGTTGGTACTGTGTGAAAATATAATACATGTACATGTATTTGTTTTACTACGAGTGGGATAAAATGATAATGAACGAAATTATTTTTTTCAGGTCAAAATTACCGTGTTACGAATTATGCATTTGGATGAAACATGACAGCATGGTAGATACAATAGAGAGAACATTGAATTCCTTGAAATAAAAATACAAATTCCACTATGTAAATATTCAATTACAAATCTGAAAAGATTCCACACGAAGCATAACAGACCAAATATATATTTCTGTCTGTTCGGATATCCAAATATGCTATTGAATATGAATAACGAAAAGATTGGGGTGTATATGTCGACGAGACGGCAACCAAACGACAAAGGAAGATCTACAGGTCAATAAAGTACGAGGTAGAAGGGCATTGAAAACCAAACAAATGCTGCAAAATCTGACAAATACCAACTATGCTTTTGGACAGAGTGACCAAAATGTCGTAAAGGATGATCTTTCTTATTGATGGAGAATGTCTGTCATAAAAAATGTCACATGTGTAGACGTATATAATAAAAATAAAATTTTGATGTGGTGGCATGGTAAGTAGATTTGTCATCCTTAACGACAGACAAAATATAGCTGATCGTAAAGGTACACCATCCACTTCCCACTATTCACCATGTACGAAGGTCTGGATGGGGTTTACAGAATAGAGAATAATGGGCAAAAAGTGTAGAATGGTGAGCAAAATATATAAAGAATAGAGAAAAATAGGCAAAAAAAATAAAGAATAGAAAATAATGAGGTGCTAAAATATAAAGAACAGAGAATAATATGCAAAATCTATAACAAAGAGAGAAAAATGACCCAAAAAGTTAAAGAATACAGAAATGAGATATCCCCATCCTAACCCTCATGTACTGTGATATAACGCTAGATAAACTGACGAGGAAAGGCATTACTCGAATAACGAAAGCTATATTTTATATAGCCTAGTTGGTCGAGTGATCAGCTAAACGTATCACTGGGTCAGTACCGCTTGGTGGAATATCAGTCTACCGTGGTTCCACCAGCCCAGGAAGTAGCCATGCATAGGTTCGGTATTGGCATCCTGGTACTTGCAAACAACCGATTGAAGATAACATGGGGCAGCCGAAAAATTTCCCTAGTTTGAAATAAAAAAATGTTAAACGGCGAACTGATTATTGTCCTTGCATGTGCGTTTCCTGGTTTCACAATACTTTTAGTTCTTTTCGATTAAACCAATTCTCAACGTTTCTACGATATTTCGATTTTCAAATAGTTTGGTCCCAACCATCACTGAAGAGACACTAATTGTCGAAATGCGCATCTGATGCAGTAAAATTTGTAGCGTTTTTATTACAACAAGACCTGGGGTATCTCTACCGCGGATTTTAATATACGTATAGTCGCCTAAACTTGCAGTATATTTCAATGAAGGAGAAGATGTTCTGGTGATTTGAATAAAATTGCTCGTTTGAAATTGATGTGAAAAGACTCTCGTCTATAATTCGACGTGTGAATCTTTTAGTGTTATATATAAAAATAGGAATATGTGGTATGATTGCCAATAAGACAACTCTCCACCAGTGACCAAATGACATATAAATTAACAACTATAGGTAACCGTACGGCTTGCAACAATGAGTATGTCCACTTTTGATAAAAATGGAGATAGCTATATATTTGACATTCAAGGGCAATGATATATCCCCCCTATACAACTATAACACGAGATTTCTACACTCTACGAGTTTTTGTCAGAACTACAGTGTTATATCTCCACACTCCCATTGGATTTTAATAGCTTGCTTATTCCTCTAGTTAGTTAAGAATTAAAGCTGTAAAATAATTGCTATCAAAAGTATTTTAGTAGTACTATGCTTAAATTGTTTGCATGGTTTGAACTCATTGACAATCTATGAGCAATTCTTAGCAAATCCAGTAGTCCATAATTAAGGATATTACACAGTTAAAAAATCCATGATATACCTCCAATAGAAATATAAGGATACATTTCTAAAACAACATTGTTTGTAGTGAAGTATTTTATCTCTTGAAAAGGGGATGCTTGCTTATATAAATATTCATGTAAGTTTATGTATATTAAAAAAGAAACAATCGAACAAAGAGATACTCTGCAAGTACGTTAATTCGATTCCTACATATTTTTGTTTATGTCTCAGTCAAATAGTTATGATATTGCACTTATAAACTTCAAATTCAATTTCCAAACGGTTAGATAAATGGGAAATACAGTCAATTAGATTCACACGACGTATCGGTTTTACGTTGTGTGCTTTCATTTTGAACAGCCGTGCAAATCGTTATCGATGTACTTGGAATTAACTAAATTAAATAACTACAATATATTAAAACGAAATTAACTTAAAGACAATATTTCAACTCATAGAAATTATGTTTGTTCACTCGATAAAACCTGGACACTCCTCAAAAAAAAAAAAAACTGCTATCGAAAAAACCCGGACATATCAATATGAATTTATTCTCAAAATGTCCTTATTAATGCTTAAAGTGCATGTCTGTATTTCTAAGGATAATATTATATAGAATCTATGTCAGCATTTCCTTTGATATTTGCAATCGTATGTGTATAGAAGGTTTTCATACACCGCTCTTTTTGGGGGGAAATGGTATATATAGTGCTGCAGGTGTCCGTCTATCTTCACTGTGTATCATCACCACCGGAATTTAAGTACCAACGAAGCGGAGAGAAAGGAAAAAAATAAATAAGGTAAGATTTCCTTTAACATGTTTAATTTAAACCATTTCCACCGTTTTGATGAGGTAACCTCTTATGAAACGATTTTCTGAAAGTGCTTTTGTTCTTTTGCAAACAAAGACAAGATTTTGTGTTATACTCAAGACTTGTTACCTGAAAATTTCAAGGTCGATCGCCCTCCGTTGTCCCGTTGGCTAGATAGTAAACTGTTTTTTATTCTTTTTCCAGACAAATAATTTGATTATGATAATGTGACTTCATATACTTAACTTCGTTAACAAGAAGATGTTTTCTGAAGAATATGGGTAAAAACGAAATTTCCAACTGTATGGCAACTTGCTAGTTCTTTAATATTAACTACCGTTACTGGTCTTTTTTTCGGTCTCGTCTCGAAAAATGGCCGCGGCGAGACTTAGTCGTACTGTTTACGACATCGCCGGCGTCAACAGCGCAAAAAGTTTATTAAAGTTTGTGAAAAAAAGTCTAAAGAGAATAACGAATGGTTGGTCAATGATATCAGATATCAGTTGTATTATCATTGGCACATCTAAATTTGGAACAATACATATGCATAGTTTACTTGTTAAACGTTTGTGACTAGGTCAGTGCTCCGGAAGGGTAAGCAGATCCTGCTCCACTTGTGGCACCCGTCGTATTGCTCATGTTAGTACAAACCAGGTAATAAGTATATTTCGGTAGGCCACATTCGGAGAAAAAGGGGGCGGGAATGTAGTTACGACTTTTGGAACATATCTGCTATCATCTGTGAAACGGATATTCCATAACGGTCAATCAACTCGTGATGGCGTTCGTAAAATTTACAAAGGGATGATCTCAACTTCACCACTTGGAACTCTTGGTTTAATAGCTTTCTTGTGAGCAGCAACCCTCTATCAAGGAAACCATGATAGGAAATACAAGCCCTGGAATATCGTATCAACTGGGAGATATATATACTCCGTATAAATTGACATTCAAATCTCTCATTAACACGTAGCCTTATTTGATCTTGCATCTGCAGTCATGGTTCATTGATCTTGAATGTTTGGCATAGTTAGTATGAAAATAAGAAGATGTGATATTATTGCCAATGAGACAAGATGTTAAATTATTGCTATGTCAACATTTTTATTTTAGGAGACGATCTTTGATATTCTAGGGGATTGGGATAGGTAACAGAAGGATTTTTTCCGGATTGAATATTAATTTTCATCCGTTGAGACGCATGCTTTTTTCTTCGTTTTTGTACACAATTGTTTCCTGTATTTTGTGTTGCAGAATATTTATTGTTTTTCTGTCTTGAGTAAAGTTATTTATTTTTTCGAATGTACAACAACGTTGGACTCGTTCTGTAAAATAGTGATGGCCCTTCCTGAAAAGCACAGTGTATACGAGATATCCTCGACACTAGATGAATTTCCAAGCCTTGTTTCCTCGTCACTCGATAAGCCTTTAACGTGACCATTGCCATTTTGATTACATTTATCCTTGTGACGTCGTTTTGATGGGAGATAACTCGCGTATAAATAAAAAAGATCAACGCTTAGTATATATAATGTCCATAGGGTTATTCGTCCTTCCTTGTATTTAAACGAAAATTAACTGAATGTTTCCATGTCATGTGATAACGTGTTACCCAGTAGAAATGTTTATTATATGTAAGGTATAATAATATCATATATTGCAGACGCCGTATAGAACAAATCAACCCCATGCAATTCGCCGTACAATGAATGATAACTGTTCTGGAGAAAACATCTTTTTGCTAGCGAATTTAAGTAAATATGAAGTAACACTATTATAATCTAAAAATTTGTCTGGAAAAAGAATGAAAAACAGTGGAATATCAGGCCAATTTTCGGTTACCAATTACACAATTTTGTATTATAACACTAAAGCTTGCCTTTGTTTGCTACTTTTTTGGCATAAAAAAAAAAACAAACAAAAAAAAAACACACAATATATAAGAAAATTGTTTCGTAAGCGGTAACCTCTTCAAAACGGTAGAAATGGTTCAAATTAAAGGAATAAGTTACATTGCTTAATTATTATTTCCTTTCTCTCCGCTTCTTTGGTATCCAATTTCCGACGCCGATGATACACTGATATTTTGGTATCCTCAAGCGCCCCTGAAGTTCACCGTTTGACTGTTTTTATTAGTTTTTACAGCGTGGTAGGATATCATGGTAATCGGTCAAGTAAGAGCAACATAAAGAAGTAAAATCAAAATTAAAATCGGTACATTTTGGTAAAAAGTTTTCAGATAATTTTGTTATGTATAAAAAACACGAAACAGTTAATTCCCCCTCACCTCCATCCTTCCTTATGAAATGTACAGATTGTAAGCTTTATTTAATTTATTTACGTCGCTTATACTTGACAGATTACCAGAATGGCCTACCACAGATATTATTATACCTTACATATGTTTCAAACAATTCTATTGGGTAAAACGTTATCACGTGACATGGAATAACTCAGTTAATTTTCATTCAATTGCAAGGAAGAACCAATAACCATAAAAATTTACACCAGCGTTGAATAACTCTATTATTCACCGGCGAATAACCTTTATAGTTTGTTGATTTGTACTCATGATGAGGGGGCTAGGATGAAAAATTTTGTCCTGCATTTTTTAAAGTTGTAATTTCTGTCCTGCCTTTTTATTTTTCACTCTATTTGGTCCTGCCCTTTTTTTTATTAGTTTATTCTGACTTTTTTTACATAAATTGTCATCCTTGCTTTTTTTTGCCAAGTTGCTCATCCTGCCTTTTTTTTTTACTCAAAACTCATGACCTGCCTTTTTTTAAAAACTTTCATCCTAGCCCACACCATAAAAATTAAATGGTAGCTCCCTAAGACACAAATTACATGTATTTTTGAACGTCAACTTGTGTGTTTTACTGACTCAAGTAAGGGTAAGTGCTTTTACAATGATTCAAAATGCCCTTCCACTGTTAGTTCGGTATAATAAAACAATTGTGGCCCCTTAGAAGCGATGAATATCCAAAATTGTCAACACTAGAAGGTTATTTAATTTTAAGGGTACGAAGAGCGATTTATTTTCTCGTAATTAAACACACGCCAAATTCAACTTCTTGCGGTAAAAATTCTTTTTTTCACACAATAAGTTCTTTTGAAAATTTAGTTCTTTGCATACATTTAATAACTCAATAGTTTGTACACCTATATTTTATAGTCCTCTTCTCTTCAAATCAGCAACCATGGTTACTTGTTAAAAATTCAAACATGTCCAACATCACTGCACAGAGATTTTCTGTTTACGCACTATTTTTGAGTTGCTAAATTTGAGGCGCATTAGGGATATCGACCCACTTGTGGCGCCCGTCATGTTGTCCGTGTGAAGTACAAATCAAAAAATAAGTTTCACTTTGTAATATCTAAACCTTTATTAAATAATGCAACAGAATAAATATCAATAAAAAGGTAAATATATACAAATTTGAGTAAAGATATTATTATGAACTAGTAATTATTAACGCGTGAAATATAAAAAAATATGAGTTATTATCTGGGAAATAAATGAAAATGATCAGCAATAATAACCAAGTATTATAAGTATAAAAAATAATTCAATCGACAACCTAAACGATGTATACACAATTCTGCATCCTTCACTGTTTCTCCAACATGAGCGTCTGGATGGGGACTGGGGACTTTCAATTCTGTATTCCTTAATTTTATAAGTTTTTTTTTCTCTATTTTTCATAATTTTGCCCATTATTCTCTATTCTTTATATTTCATCACCCAATTATTCTCTATTCTTTATATTTTTTCACCCCATCATTCCCTATTCTTTATATTTTATCACCGATTATTCCACGACTATTCTCTATTCTTTCCTTATTCTTTATTTTTGATTTGCCCTTTCTCTCTAATTTTTATTTGTTGGACAAGTATTCATTAAGTTTTGGTCAAGTATTCTCTGTTCTCATCCAGACCCTCATATTAAAGTGATTAGCACAAGTTATTGATAAATGTGTTTGACCTACGCGAAATATTTCCCAGTGTTGATTGAAGGGAAATATGTAATAACAATGATGGACAAAAACTTTTCGTTTTGATATATTAAATCGTGGAACAATTATTAACAAGATAATTTGATATCATGTACAATAAAAATAAGTTGTTCCTTCCAATTTCGTTCCATTACTTAAAAACAAGTATCAACGTCATACCAATTACATTCCGAACACGTGATCCTCCATTGACAAAAACAATTGTTCGTGTTCTATATAGTTTTACTTTCAAAGATTAATCTACAAGAACGTATAACTCTTTCGGGAATCAATTTCTTTTCCTTTTCTTTCGAGAATTTCGTCGTTTAACGCGGTTTGAACCAACTTGAAACGGGTAATACGATTTAGAAGACACAGAATAAACTTCCACACGACCATGATTCCACGCATAAAGCTTCTTTTGAATTGGATTGTAGTCCAGCATGTAGTTCTAAGTAAATTTTTCATCAATGGTATTTGGAAATATAATTTGATTGTCTTTTAGAACCTTGCTACCGTCGTTATTTGTATTAAATGAATATTTGATAAAAGTTGGAATATTTTCGTACGAATCCGTTGCATACATAATTCCACAAATCATAAATGCATTTCCAACTTTTGTTTTTGGTGAATTTGTTACCCACGTTTCCAAAATCTCAAGTGTGTCGTCATTAAGTTTTACTATAACTATATTTCCGTTGGAATATGTTGTAGCGTAAATCACCCATAATCCTTTTTCGTCTACAGCAAAATCGATATCTGAAAATTTTCCACTCTGGTACGGGTATTTGTTATGGACACCTGCGTTGTCCAGTGCAATTTCTTTCTCCCACTTTTTCTGAAGTAAGTTATACTTAACAATTTTGTTGCTCATTCCCTCGTGGCAAAACAAAGAGTTTTTATAAACGACATGTCCTGTTCCTTCACAAAAGAACGGGAGTTTGTGTGTTCTTTTTTCGACGTCATATTTGAGCAATTCCAAAGATTTGTACTGGAATATTTCAATGATGTCACTATAACCATAGGTTACCCATATTTGACCACCTGGTGTCGGGTCTACTGCAAAGCTGCCTTGTGCTATCCAAACAGGAATTTCGATGTTATCGCTGTTAATTGATACCAGTTCTTGGGGGCAGAAATCTACAAAAACATAGTGTGATATATTATAATAGGAATGGGGCTTAAAAAAACTTATTAACGATACAAGGCTTATAATTTTGAATGTCGGACTCACATTTAGTCTACAAAAAATTCATCCGTGACGCTCGGAGGTTATAAGGCCAAATATATTTTGAAGATGGAGAACATTGAAGACCCATCATTCAGAAAGGTTATGCCAATAACAGTTTAAGTGATATATTCCTTGGGTAGAAAATCCTTTAATCTTTCAAACAATTTAAAGTTTAAAAAAATTAAACTGTAAAAATAGCAAATATAACTTTGTACAATGTTCCTAGCATAAGTTGCATAAAGCAGTAAATGTTAAGAGAGAGATAGAAAACACATATAACACGGTTTAAGTGAAGATGTTTAAATCGATAGTATAAAAATACAAGAACAATTTTAAGAAATATAAAAGAGGGACGAAAGATACCAGAGGGACAGTCAAACTCACAGATCGAAAACAAACTGACAACGCCATGGCCAAAAATAAAAAGACAAACAGAGTTTAGTATGACGTCCATTATCACTGAACTAGTATACATATTTGTTTAGGGGCCAGCTGAAGAAGGCCTCCGGGTGCGGGTGTTTCTCGCTGCATTGAAGACCCATTGGTGGCCTTCGTCTGTTGTCTGCTATGGTCGGGTCGTTGTCTCTTTGACACATTCCCCAATTCCATTCTCAATTTTAGATAATAGTACATATGACACAACATAGAAAACTAAAGACTAAGCAACACGAACCCCACCAAAAACTGGGGGTGATCTCAGGTGCTCCGGAAGGGTAAGCAGATCCTGCTCCACATGTGGCACCCATCGTGTTGCTTATGTTATTACAAATTCGGTAAATAGTCTAATTCGGTATGTCACATTCGTGAAAAGGGAAGGGTATTGAAGTAACGACATAAGGAACATATCCGATATCATCTGTGAAACGGTTATTCCATAACGGTCAACCAACTCGTGATGGCGTCCGTAAAATTCACGAAGGGATGATATCAACTTCACCATTTGGAACTCTTGGTTTAATAGCTTCCTTGTTAGCAGCAATCCTCTATCAAGGAAATCATGATAGGAAATACAAGCCCGGGAATATCGTATCAACTTGGAGATATATACCCCGTATGCAGGCGCTGCTGGAATGTTGCTACATAGAAATGGAAAGTTAACAATTGGGAAGCTGAAATCATGTCTTTTGTCGTAAAGTTTTGTTTTCAACCGACCCTCATTGTTAATTTCTAGATGTAAGTCAAGATATGAGGCAGATTTAACTGTATCTGTAGTATCCTTTATCTCTAGTTCGATGGGATAAATTCGTTCAACATAGTCACCAAATTTTGTATTATTTAGTGAGAGAACATCATCTATATAGCAGAACGTAAAGTTAAAGGATATTGCTAACTTCTTATCTTTCTTCCTAAGAAGTTCCTGTATGAAGTCGGCCTCATAATAATAAAGAAACAAGTCGGCAAGAAGAGGGGCACACTTGGTTTCCATTGGGATTCCGACAGTCTGTTGAAAAACACGTCCTCCAACAAATATGTTGTCAATCAAGAAATCAAACATCTGGACAAAGTATGGGCAATTAAATAGTAGAGATACTTGAAGATAATAAGAAATTCACAAAACAGTCAATAATGAGGATGCTTTTCGATGGTTGGGAGCAGTGTGATACTCCATCTAGCGACCTAATCGTATTCTTGTTTACCTTGTGTTGTTGGATTGCTATCTAATTAACATTTACTGGAACACTTTCAATAGGTTATACATGTACGTTGTTGGCTACATGAACAATCATGATTGACATGAATTGATATTCAAACTAGAGACTCTAAAGAGCCTGCGTCGCTCATGGGGGTCCAAGTACATTTTCAACAATGGACGTCACGTTACTGTAAATTCAGAAATTATTGCGTGCATTTATTATTGCGATTTTGTCATTTTAGACTAAAATGCGATTTTAATTTTTGCGATCATAACCCTGTCGCATTTTTCGCAATAATAAAAACATCGCAATAATTTAAGGCAGTACCTTTCAAAAAAATACCGGCACCGGCAATTTAGAAGAGTAAGCTTTTTTGCCAGTTGTGATTAAAATACCTTAATTAAATCCGCCAAAAAGGCATATTATATAGCATTGTCCATTTTACCGGCGCTGGCAATCTCGTGAATTAAGATTTACCATCCGCCAAGAGTTAGATAGTACTAAAATTTTCGTAAATGAAATCAAATATAAATTAATGATACTAAGCAGTAAACAAAATATAAATTACTCAAATAAAATAATACTATGAAAGGAAAGCAATTAAGAAAATCTAGTCACAAGAGAGTGCTTCATTTACGCGTAAATAGAAAGCAATTGATTCCTTTTATTCAATTTCTGTTTAATATCAACGCATCCATCATTTGATTTTTCTTTGATAATGATAAATGATATCTTAAACATGTTAAAGTAACCACAGATTTACTATCCAAGAAAGTCTTACCGGTTTGAATGCAATATCTCCCAACAAAATATTGCAGCAGTTATCACACAAAAAAAATATTACCAAGTAATTATATTTTACTTAAATTAAGTATTCTTTTTTATTATTCATTACTAGGAATTACTAACCAATTACTCACTATTACTAGCAATTACTTATGTTTTGCTAAATATGAAAATAGTTACTTGAAACAAGTAATTGTTTTACTGAAAATGTGTGTCTATTAAAAAAAATTCCTTAAATTAAAACAAATACTAATAATGATTTTACTCACTTGAGTAAATGAATTACTTAGTCCTTATTTAAGTAATAACTTACTGTTTTTATTAAAAAGAAATTACTTAGATTAAGTTATATATTAATGAACTACACATATTTATTTTTTCATTTATACTAAAATGCAGTATGAAAGTTACTGGAATTACTTCTGATAACTTTGATATAAAACTTGTTATTACTAAGTAGGCTTAGGCACTACATAATGTTGTTTGCTTGCATAAGGCTTGTTATATATAATAATAAATGCTTTCTATGAAATTTGACTCCATAATTTAACAATTTCAACATATGTAGGTTTCACAGTCTGAAAGTTGCATAAATTTGGATAACTGTTAAAGCAATTTTCTTTAAACAGGCTATTATTTCAACTTGGAATTATCTAATTATGGAATTTGAATAATTTCTTGTACTTGAATTTTTTTTATAAATTCCATGTTTATTCTGTATTTTAATGTTCTGTGCTGCGCACAACACTTTCTATTTCAAAGAAGATAACACATTTTCAATAGAATGCATGTACTGTGCCGCGCACAACACTATCTATACAAAATACATTGTATTGAAAGTGTAATGGAATGCTAAAAAAATTATAATGCAGAATAAACATTGAATTCATTAAAAATTTCAAGCACAAGAAATTATGCAAATTCCATAATTAAAAATAATTCCGAATTGAAATAATAGCCTGTTTTTAGATAATACTTTGAAATGCTTAAAAAATTTGATTAGAATTACTTAGTATCAGAATTACTAGTCATTACTTAAATCATTTTCATATCAAAATATCTTCAAATTATCATTAATTATTTTTTTGATATAATTTTTATAATGTAAACTTACATGACTTAGTCTTACTAAAATTTATAATTAATTATTTATTTTGAATGTACAAAATTATATCATACTTCCTGTATTTAATAAGAAGTTTTTGATTTGAGACTGATACAATATTCAACCAACCAGAATTAAGGTTTCATTTGACTTTGGTAAGCTATTTTCGAAAATTGTTTGGAACTCATTCAAATTTCAATTTGAACAAAAAGTATACTGAGTTTGTTGAAATACTTGCACGATTGACAAGCATGAAAGGAAAGGAGAACCTTACAAAAAGGACACTTTGTGGGTATTTATGTTTCTAGCTACTCTTTGTGTACTAATTCAATTAAATGAAAATGTAACACAAAGAGTTAGCCCATGTAAACTTACAACAAACAAGAATAGAAATGGATTATAACAAAGGATATAGTATATGATAATTCTTTAAAAAGGTATGTTACTTTTTCAAATTATATGCATTTATGATAAAACAGTGTAGAGTTTTTATTTTGATATTTATATATACAATTTATATGTAAAAGAATTACTCAAAACCTACAAATAAATTTACTGTTGCAAGTAATTGTATTTCCAGAAATTATTTGCCATAAGTAAAAAAATGGCTTACAATTGGTACACGAATTACTAAGAGTATTAAAAGAAATACTCGATAAATATTAAAAGAATTACTTACTATTATTAAAAGAAATACTTAATGTGTATTAAAAGAATTACTTACTTTAATTAAAAGAATTACTTACTTTTATTATTACTTACTTTTATTAAAATAATTACTTACTTTTAATAAAATAATTACTTACTATAATTAAACGAAATACTAATGTGTATTAACATGATTAAATGAATCACTTACTATTATAAAAAGAATTACTTATTATATATGAAAAAAACTACTTAGTATTTATTAAAAGAATTAATTAAGATACATTGAAAAATTACTTAAATTTAATTACTAGGTAATTACTTATAATTACTTGGCATTACTAGCAATTACTCATTTTTTGACAAACATTTTTACTTGTTTTTTTACTTGATTTGAGTAAAATCAATACTTGTTTTAAGTAAATTCAAATAATTTATTTTTTTGAGTGTACAGCCAAGAACGTTCATTAAAATGAGTTTTAAAAAAAATAAAGAACCCTAAATTATCGTTATTACAGACTACAGGTTAAGGGGAGGTTCAGCTCCTTGCAAATCTTCATATGATAAATTAGTTAAAAACAAACTGTCAGGTTTAGGGAGGGTTGGTGCTTTCATACATTTAACCCCCTCCCACATCCTAACATTCTATACATTCCTGTCTATATAGTCAGAAGCCTTCAAAATAGTGCTTGTTTTTATTTTTTGCTGTTCACGTGTTGTCCCGTTACACCACTGT